ACAGATGATTTGAGCAGATATGGGTATATCTACTTAATGAAACACAAGTCTGAAACATTTGAAAAGTTCAAAGAATTTCAGAGTGAAGTGGAAAATCATCGTAACAAGAAAATAAAATTTCTACGATCTGATCGTGGAGGAGAATATTTGAGTTACGAGTTTGGTTTACATTTGAAGAAATGTGGAATAGTTTCGCAACTCACGCCACCCGGAACACCACAACGAAATGGTGTGTCCGAACGTCGTAATCGTACTTTATTAGATATGGTGCGATCTATGATGTCTCTTACTGATTTACCGCTATCTTTTTGGGGTTATGCTTTAGAGACGGCCGCATTCACGTTAAATAGGGCACCATCAAAATCCGTTGAGACGACTCCTTATGAACTGTGGTTTCGCAAGAAACCAAAGTTGTCATTTCTTAAAGTTTGGGGCTGCGATACTTATGTGAAGAAACTTCAACCAGATAAGCTCGAACCCAAATCGGAGAAATGTGTCTTCATAGGATACCCAAAAGAGACTGTTGGGTACACCTTCTATCACAGATCTGAAGGCAAGATTTTCGTTGCTAAATTCGGATCCTTTCTAGAGAAGGAGTTTCTCTCGAAAGAAGTGAGTGGGAGGAAAGTAGAACTTGATGAAGTAACTGTACCTGCTCCCTTATTGGAAAGTAGTTCATCACAGGAACCGGTTCCTGTGACAACTACACCAATCAGTGAGGAATCTAATGGTATTGATCATGAAACTTCAGATCAAGTTTCTACTGAACCTCGTAGGTCTACCAGAGTAAGATCCGCACCAGAGTGGTACAGTAATCCTATTCTGGAAGTCATGTTACTTGACCATGATGAACCTACAAACTTTGAGGAAGCGATGATGAGCCCAGATTCCGCAAAATGGCTAGAGGCCATGAAATCTGAGATGGGATCCATGTATGAGAACAAAGTATGGACTTTGGTTGACTTGCCCGATGATCGGCAAGCCATTGAGAATAAATGGATTTTTAAGAAGAAGACTGACGCTGATGGTAATGTAACTGTCTATAAAGCTCGACTTGTTGCAAAAGGTTTTCGACAAGTTCAAGGGGTTGACTACGATGAGACTTTCTCACCCGTAGCGATGCTTAAGTCTGTCCGAATCATGTTAGCAATTGCTGCATTTTATGATTATGAAATTTGGCAAATGGATGTCAAAACTGCATTCTTGAATGGATTTCTGGAAGAAGAGTTGTATATGATGCAGCCAGAAGGTTTTGTTGATCCAAAAGGTGCTAACAAAGTGTGCAAGCTCCAGCGATCCATTTATGGACTAGTGCAAGCATCTCGGAGTTGGAATAAATGCTTCGATAGTGTGATCAAAGCATATGGTTTTATACAGACTTTTGGAGAAGCCTGTACTTACAAGAAAGTGAGTGGGAGCTCTGTAGCATTTCTGATATTATATGTAGATGACATATTATTAATTGGAAATGATATAGAATTTCTGGATAGCATAAAGGGATACTTGAATAAAAGTTTTTCTATGAAAGACCTCGGTGAAGCTGCTTATATATTGGGCATCAAGATTTATAGAGATAGATCAAGACGCTTAATTGGACTTTCACAAAGCACATACCTTGATAAAGTTTTGAAAAAGTTCAAAATGGATCAGGCAAAGAAAGGGTTCTTGCCCGTACTACAAGGTGTGAAGTTGAGTCAAACTCAATGCCCGACCATAGCAGAAGATAGAGAGAAAATGAAACATGTTCCCTATGCTTCAGCCATAGGCTCTATCATGTATGCAATGTTGTGTACCAGACCTCACGTGTGCTTAGCAATAAGCTTGGCAGGAAGGTACCAAAGTAATCCAGGAGTGGATCACTGGACAGCGGTCAAGAACATCCTGAAATACCTGAAAAGGACTAAGGATATGTTTCTCGTATATGGAGGTGACAAAGAGCTAGTCGTAAATGGTTACGTCGATGCAAGCTTTGACATTGATACAGACGATTCTAAATCGCAAACCGGATACATGTTTTTATTAAACGGTGGAGCTGTAAGTTGGTGCAGTTCTAAACAAAGCGTCGTGGCGGGATCTACATGTGAAGCGGAGTACATAGCTGCTTCAGAAGCAGCAAATGAAGGAGTTTGGATGAAGGAGTTCATTTCCGATCTAGGTGTCATACCTAGTGCATCGGGACCAATGAAGATCTTCTGTGATAATACTGGTGCAATTGCCTTGGCAAAGGAATCCAGATTTCACAAGAGGACCAAGCACATCAAGAGACGCTTCAATTCCATCTGGGATCAAGTCCAGGTGGGAGACATAGAGATTTGCAAGATACATACGGATCTGAATGTTGCAGACCCATTGACTAAGCCTCTTCCACGAGCAAAACATGATCAGCACCAAGACTCCATGGGTGTTAGAATCATTACTGTGTAATCTAGATTACTGACTCTAGTGCAAGTGGGAGACTGAAGGAAATATGCCCTAGAGGCAATAATAAAGTTATTATTTATTTCCTCATATCATGATAAATGTTTATTATTCATGCTAGAATTGTATTAACCGGAAACATGATACATGTGTGAGTACATAGACAAACATATAGTCACTAGTACGCCTCTACTTGACTAGCTCATTAATCAAAGATGGTTATGTTTCCTAACCATAGACATGTGTTGTCATTTGATTAATGAGATCACATCATTAGGAGAATGATGTGATTGACATGACCCATTCCGTTAGCCTAGCTATTGATCGTTTAGTATATTGCTATTGCTTTCTTCATGACTTATACATGTTCCTGTAACTATGAGATTATGCAACTCCCGTTTACCGGAGGAACACTTTGGGTGCTACCAAACATCACGACGTAACTGGGTGATTATAAAGGAGTACTACAGGTGTCTCCGAAGGTACATGTTGGGTTGGCGTATTTCGAGATTATGTTTTGTCACTCCGATTGTCGGAGAGGTGTCTCTGGGCCCTCTCGGTAATGCACATCACTATAAGCCTTGCAAGCAATGTAGCTAATGAGTTAGTTACGGAATGATGTATTACGTAACGAGTAAAGAGACTTGCCGGTAACGAGATTGAACTAGGTATTGGATACCGACGATCAAATCTCGGGCAAGTAACATACCGATGACAAAGGGAACAACGTATGTTGTTATGCGGTTTGACCGATAAAGATCTTCGTAGAATATGTGGGAGCCAATATGGGCATCCAGGTCCCGCTATTGGTTATTGACCGGAAACAAGTTCTAGGTCATGTTTACATAGTTCTCGAACCCATAGGGTCCGCACGCTTAACGTTTCGTTGACGATATAGTATTATATGAGTTATGTATGTTGGTAACCGAATGTTGTTCGGAGTCGCGAATGAGATCATGGACATGACGAGGAACTCCGGAATGGTCCGGAGATAAAGTTTGATATATGGGATAATAGTGTTTGATCTCCGGAAGAGTTCCGGAATTCACCGGAAGGGGTTCCGGATGTTTCCCGAAATGTTTGGGTACGAGAACACATTATTTGGGCCAAAGGGGAAAGCCCACAAGGTTTTTGGAAAGCGCAAAAGAAAGTTTTGCGGAGTCCAGGGGCCAGACGCCAGGGTCCCTGGCGTCTGGGTCCAGACGCCGGGAACCCTGGCGTCTGGCCCTGGAGTCCGAGAAGGACTCTTGCCTTTCGGGTGAAACCGACTTTGTGGAGGCTTTTACTCCAAGTTTCGACCCCAAGGCTCAACATATAAATAGAGGGGCAGGGCTAGCACCAAAGATAGATCAAGAAACACCAAGCCATGTGCCGGCAACCCCGTCCCCTCTAGTTTATCCTCCGTCATAGTTTCTGTAGTGCTTAGGAGAAGCCCTGCAGAAATTGTTCTTCACCAACACCGTCACCACGCCGTCGTGCTGCCGGAACTCATCTACTACTTCGCCCGTCTTGCTGGATCGAGAAGGCGAGGACGTCATCGAGTTGAACGTGTGCAGAACTCGGAGGTGCCGTGCGTTCGGTACTTGGATCGGTCGGATCGTGAAGACGTACGACTACATCAACCGCGTTGATAAACGCTTCCGCTTAGCAATCTTCAAGGGTATGAAGATACACTCCTCTCGTTGCTATACATCACCATGATCTTGTGTGTGCGTAGGAAAATTTTGAAATTACTACGTTCCCCAACATCTCCCTCCCTGGTATCGGTGCACTGGGCCGATCAAGGCTGCCTCCAGTCGGCCCAATCAGTGCCAAACGGGCGAGTGCCCTTCCAGTTGGGCTGCAGCTCTATGAGAAGTTGCTCGATGCAGCCGAACGATCGCTACGTGAGCGAGGAGGAGAAGCTGGATATGTGGAGTTTTGAGAAGCCAGAGGAGATCAAAACATGCCCGAAGTCAAGAGGGCAAGCTTTGCACGGTTTGGTGTGATCATTCGTGAAATTACAGCAGGTGCTAGTGTGTTTATTTCATGCAGTATAGTTTATGGAAGTAGGAGTTCGAACTAAAAACAAAAAACAAAAAAAAAATTACGAGGTTCACAATCTAGCGAAGCGTGCTTTAACTTTAGGGGCTAGCCGCCATGCTGGGTTAGATCAGCCCGATGATCTTCCTTTCCTTTCGTTCATGTAAATATTATGATGATTTAATAAAACTTCGCGAGATTGTCTTAAAAAAAACTGAAGTGCAGGCTGAAAACTGGACACACCGCTATTCTGTATCGTCTGCCTGTACAGCCCAGATAAAAGCCCAGCACAGCATACTCCTCATTCACTTCCCCCGTCTTCCAGTTCTACGCCACACCTCACCTCACCTCGCCGCCGCGCACCCAAACCCTCGCCGGCCGGGACGGGAGCACCTCAAACGGGCTCCCTCGCCGTCACTCGCTTCTCGCCCGGTAAGTACGCCACATTCGCCGTAGATCCTCGGTTCCTTCCTTCCTGCTCCCCTCACCGATGTCGATGGATCTCAAATCTCTCCTCCTCCGCCCCGTTCGCAGGTTGACCGCCGCCTCTCCCCACGGCGATGGCGGACGGCTCCAAAGACGTCAGCAGGCGGCGGAATCCAGCGGACAAGCTCACCGAAGACCTCCTCGTCGAGATTCTGTCGCCCCTGCCGTACAAGTCGCTGTGCCGGTTCAAGTGCGTCTCCAAGCGGTGGCGCGGCATCATCTCCCACCCCGACCACCGCAAGGCGCTGCCGCAGCACCATCTCCATGACCTCGCCGGATTCCTCTACTCGAGCCGCAGCCCTGACTATTTATTGATTCGCAATTTCACCCATGTCTCCACGGGAGGTCGCCCTCCTATGGACCCTTCGCTTCCCTTCCTGCCTAACTGTGACAGGTTCAACCTCCTGGACAGCTGCAACGGCCTACTCCTCTGCAGCCGCTTTGAGACCGCTGATTCGCGGGCATTTGATTACGTATTGTGCAATCCTGCCACAGAGAAATGGCTTGCCTTGCCGTTGCCGCGCTTCTTCAGCAAGTGGCAGACAGCTCGCTTGGGGTTTGACCCGGCTGTCTCCTCGCACTTCCATGTGTTCCAGTTCCTGGAGGATGGGGCTGATACAGACGACGATGTTGACGATAGTGATGGCCACGTCAAAGGGGTTGAGATCTACTCGTCCAAAACCGGCGCCTGGAGTCACAAGGACAGCGGTTGGGGCTTCCCAGCTAGGATATTGAGTTTAAGTGCCTTTGGCAAGGGTTTTCTGCATTTGGTTACCATCGAGCCTGCGGTGGTGGTGGCAGTGGATGTGGAGGGAACTACTTGGAGGGTTATTCCTATGCCATGCAATCTGTTTGGCCCTGAAATAGATCTTGCTGTCGGGTTCACTGATCTGTCTCAAGGGCGTTTGTATTTAGCAAATATTGATCATCGTGATGGTCACAAACTATTGATCTGGGTTCTTGAGGACTACGGCAGTGAAGTGTGGGTCTTGAAGCACAGCGTTAGGCCTTTTGATCTATTTGGAGTCAAGTATGTCCATCAGGGAATCAGGTTTCACATTGTCGCCCACCACCCGCAACGAAACATGATTTTCTTAGTTTTTGGGCATGACAAAGTACTCGTGTCTTATGAAATGGATAGTGGAAAAGTGCAGTTCATCCGCGATCTTGGAAATGGTTCCATGGGACCCTATCGTCCTTATGTTCCCTTGTACTCGGAGGAATTGGCAGATTGGAACTGATAGTCTGACTTGCATATCGCCGTTCCATTGTCGACCTTTCAGATAATGTTGAATCATAGGTTCCTTGTAATATCAGCAGCTATCCGGTTAGATCCTTCTGATGTTGTGTTACTTCTCTTTTGTTGTCGATTGTACTCTGTAGCCTCACTTTATGGGGCTAACTGTTCCAGTTAACTTAGTAGTGCTAGCTGCTTGTCTTGTGTAAACATATACTATGTGTTTATGGTTGGTACCAGCATACGGGCAGCAGCCTTTGCTATTTAACTTTATGGAGCTACCATTTATTTGTACCAAGGCTGCTGTTTGTGATGTCCAGATTGTTGTGTTGGGCTACTTAGGGATGCCCTCTTTTACAGATAGTGTATGTGTATTCTATGTTGAATACTCCCTCCATTCCTATATATAGTGCGTATTAGTTTCTTGCAAGAATTCCACAATGTAGTGAGTATGAAGCACTTTGGACAAGAATTACCCCTAGCTTTTCACTGGAGATGCAGCACATCCACATGCCTATGTACGGAGAGTGTGCATGCAGGGTTACTATGGTCTAGAAGTACATCTGCACATCATGCCTTGGTCTTGGAGCCTCAAACCATGCGCACTACATATTGGACTAGAGGGAGTATTATTGTGCATGTTAGCTATGTAATTGTATGGGCAGTAAAACATGGGGGGGAATTTATGTTTTATTCCTCTTGTCATTGTAGTGAACAGTAGAGCATGTCAGTTTATGTTCCTTTGCTCCTGTCATGTTGAAATGATCTGCACTAGTGAAGCAAAGCTATTCTTTTCTGTGAGATGCTATTTAGTCTGGAGTTTACAGCATCAAAGGTAAAAATTTCTTCATTCCATCAATATAACAGCTTGATTCACTCTGTTTAGTCCGAAACTAACCTTGTGTTGATTTGATCTAGAAAAATTGTCTGATTCACCTCCTGCTGTACTTAGTTGCAGTGTCTGATCTTTGCCTACGGATGCCTTGAACTGTCGTTTAATTTGATACAGAAGGATAGGTGCCATCTTTTTCAGAGCCTCTACGGTATATGCAGATTATTTATCGGGATATTTACAGTATAACTCTCTGAATTTTTAGCCTCCGTGCGCCCTCCTGACCTTGTCCCTGCTGATGCCTCACGTCCAAATGGGTATTAAACAAACAGATTTTGCAGCGTCCAAACAGATTTTGCAGCTCCCGAGCTTCCTCCGTCCAAAAAAAACTTGTCCCAAACTTGTTTCTCAAATAGATGTATCTAGCACTAACTTGATGCTAGATACATCCATTTGAGGAACAAACTTTTTTGGGCGGAGGGAGTATTAAATAACAGATTTTGCAGATTGCCAGCTCAGGTGTAACTTCAGAATGAATTCTACGTGTTAGAAATCCAAGGTGCATCTTGATCGGATGAGGGCAAGCAATCCCAACATTGCTGGTCCGATCATCTCCACGACGGACATTCGTGCCGTTCGATCATCTCTACAACATTCGCTCATAATATTGAGGAAGCTCGGGAGCGAGTAAACCACAAGGCTCGAAAACAAACACAATGATGTAACCTCTCCAAGTGAGATGACCAGGCCCAGAATCCATCTTCAGGTCAGGCGCTGATGAGCACATTGAAATATCCATATGGCAATGATATTGCTCCCCAGCTACCTGGATGGATCTCTTTTCTTCCTGAAAAATGATACGAGTTTCTCTGAAAATATGATGCAAGACAACCAATCCCACTCTCTCACCTACTGTACATGAGAAGCTGCAAACAGGGCATTACTACTATCTTGCACCCAACCAAACCCTAACACCACACATAGGTACAATCACTTGCTCATAGACAAAAACCACTTCCGCTCAACAGTAACTTAGATAAACAAAACCGAAGCTCAAACATGTTCCTTATACTCCCTCCGTCCCAAAATTCTTGTCTTACATTTGTCTAAACATGGATGTATCAAGTCACGTCTTAGTATTAGATACATCCATATCTAGACAAATTTAAGACAAGAATTGTGGGAATATACTACCAGTACACGTTTATTGTTCTTCAGCAGAAGGCATTTCAGCTACGGGGACAGGAAAATGGCTCGCCGAAATCAGGCCTTGTAGACGGCTCTGGCCTTCTCGGGGATCCGGTCCTCACCCTCTTGCCGTGGATGACCGCTGACATGGACCGGTGGCTCTTGCTCGGTTGGTAGTACTCCCTCTATCCGAAAATACTTATCTTAAAAATGGATAAAATAGCGAAAATTCGAATCTGAGCCTGAGCTCATCTGCACCTGCGCTCACGAAAAAAATCAAAATAAATACTAGAAAAATTCAAAAAATTCCAAAAAAAATTGGATGGTGGACAATTTGATGCATGAGGGACGCTCCAATTTTCAAAACATTTGGACTTCTGTGCAGCTCTCAGCAAAAAAGACAAATCGGAGGTCTGTAAAAATGTGTACTGTTCATATACTGTTCTGGTCTGATTTGTCTTTTTTGCTGAGAGCTGCACAGAAGTCCAAATGTTTTGAAAATTGGAGCGTACCTCACGCATCAAATTGTCTACCACCCAATTTCTTTTGGAACTTTTTGAATTTTTTTGAATTTTTTACGAATTTTTTTTTTTGACCGGGTGCAGATGCCCCCGGGCACCGAAACGCCGTTCTCATAAAATAGATGTATCTATAACTAAAATAAGTCTAGATACAACCATTTCTAGGACAAGTATATCCGGACGGATAGAGTACTTGCGAACCTGCCATCACAGGAGATGTTATCAACGCATTTTTTAAATTACCGGGGACTCTGAGTCAAAACCAATACAGCACATATCTTGATGAACCTGCTATCCTGCTACTCTCTATACTGAATGCCCATCCCTATCAATGCATTAACCCTTTCTTGACTCAAAATTACTGCCTTTCCTAGTTCATATCTGCAAGACCTTCAGTCCGGTACTCCGATAAAAGTAAGAAGAGTCCAGCATATTGTAAAATGTTTCAAGGATTCAGTACTTTGAATACATTCTGCAAATTCACCATTCACTTGAGTGGTGAAATGCAGCAGTGAAAATGGGTATGGCTTATTCACTATTCATGCTATTCACATACAGTACTTCACAAGGTAAGATGTGAAGCACCATTATCAGATATGGATAAACGACAACACCTCTAGGTTGTTACCCAAAAACCAAATATGGGCAGGGGATGCTGATAGACATACCTGTCCAATCCCGATGGCGATCTCCGAATAAAGCAGACCGACAGGGCCTGAAGAGACATGAATTCTGAACATTGAAGCAGGGTTGTACACCACCAGGTTCAGGGAGCAGTTCAGCGTGACCATCTTGATTGGAACCCCACTGTGGTCTGTACCCTCTCCAGCATAGAAGTCATCCATGGCTATGCTCTGTGCAAAAACAGAGTAAAATGTAGTTCTTGGTTAGAACAATTTTTACAGAACCTTCATATTCAAAGCGGGGTATGTTTGGAAACTTCAGGAGAGAAAGCGGAACACATAGACTAATAAGGAAAAAACAGAAGAAAAAATAATTATGCGCAGACCAAAACAGACCAGAGGGACAACATGTTTCGATTTCTATCTTTTTCATTCACATTGTACATTTTTTTATACATATAAACATTTGTTTTATACGTATTCAACATTTTTCAAATATATGAGTAACCTTTTTCAAAACATAATTTTTGCTGTCTACTTTTTTCATACACCTTGTATATTTATACATCGGAAACATTTTGTTATAAACCCCTGTTTTTTCTGTATACATCACGAACATCAGGGGGTCCTGTATACATCAGGGCACCCCTGTAAAAAGGTTAGTGAATTTGAACACACGATAGCAAATTTTAGAAATGTTCATGATTTTTTTTTCAAAAATGATCTCAAAATTGAAAAATAATACTTTAATTTTGAAAAATCTTCGCAAAATTTAAATAAAGTTCATTGGCTTAATGTTATGAAAACATGTTCATGTAAATGTTCATAACTTCAAAATGTTCAAGAATTTTATAAAATGCTCGCAAATTTGTAAAAAATGTTCAACTTAAAAAATCATGATTTTTTAAATGTTCGTGAATTCAAAAAATACTCATGATTTCAATAAAATTTCATGATTTCAAAAAATATTCATGAATTTGAAATATGTTTTCAGAATAACAAAAGGAAAAAACAAAGGATTTATTTAAAAAATAAAAAAATCAGGAAAAACAAAGAAAGAAAATTAAAAAAGGAAGATCAGAAAAGTAAAAGATAAAAGAAATAAAACACTAAAAGAAAAGAGAGAAAAACCGGTTCATGCCTACTTAGGCCAGCCCATTTCGAAACATAGCGAATAGGAGTTCACGTTTTGTCGCTATCAGTCGACCTACTCGAGCAACCTGCGGGCTACGACCGAACAGAGGGATGTGGACATGTTAGGTCCAAGGAAAACACTTGTTTTAAACCGGATGAAAACAGCGAAACGCAAGCCGCCTGGAGCGATCGACACGCGTCCCAGCTGGGCCCCAGGCGCCGCTTATTCCTCTCTCTTATCCGATACAGCGACGCACACAACCACGAAAGTACCGTTCTACAGCCAGGAGCAAATGCTCCTGGTGTAAACAGTAAAATCAAAAAAATAAAAAAAAAAATTTAAAAAATTCTGAATTTTTTTTGTGACATACTTTCACAAGTGTTTTTTGTGCATGATAATTTTCATCACGAAATCACATTCGTGGAAGTCGTGCTGAGAAAAACAAAGTCAAAGCTTCAAAATACTTTTGTAAGTAACATTTTCAGAGCATCGATTTTGTTTTTTTACCACACCTTCCATCAATGTGATTTCGCGATGAAATTTTACATGCACAACAAACATTTGTATAAGTATGCCAAAAAAAATCAGATTTTTTTGACAATTTTTTGAATTTTCTTATTTTACTGTTCACACCAGGAGCATTTGCTCCTAGGTGTAGAAACTCCACTTCCACACAACCACACATTTTTCTCACCCCTGTACATC